TCCTAGCTGTGGTGCTGAAGTCCCACCCTACATCAACAGAAAAAGAAATAAAGGAGCACGCAATGCGTTACTTGAAGAATGCATATGCAAGGCAGGGGGCCAGGAGATCTGGACACTGAAAATAATAGGTTTCTGGCTCTAACTGTTAGGACAATTAGACGGTTTGCAAATAGTGGACAAAAATCGTCTTAACTTCCATTGTTATATTTTTTTTCTTGAAAATATAGAAGTTGTACATTTTAAAATGTATATTTGAATCAAAATGTGGTTTTGAGTTAGTGTGTTAATGTAATTTGTTTGTGTTTGTCATTACTATACTGTATTACTATACTTGCCATGTTACCAGAATTTGTTGCTGAAGTTTAAGACTAGTTGTGTTTTTTATGATTATTGCCCATATGTTGATTGTTGATTGATTGTGTACAATGTATAATTTGAAATACATATTTTTCAGGTGTGAATGTGTATTTTCAGAATAAATTTCTAAACCAAATCATTAGCTTGATTTACTCTTTTCTACACCTGTAAAACCTATCTTTGATGTATAATAATCCTCTAACCATATACGTATAATAGACCTCTAAAGTTATCCGTATTATAGTTCTCTAAAGTTATCTGTATAACAGTCCTCTAAAGTTATCCGGAACTCCAACCATATATGTATAATAGTCCTCTAAATTTACCCGTATAATAGAACTCCAACCATTTACGTATAATGAACATCTAATCATAGACGTATAATTGACGTTTAACAATAGACGTATATTAGAATTTCATTCTAGACGAATTGCGGACCACATTTAGACGTCTAGGGTATGCGTTTAATAGACGTATATTATACGTCTTTTGCCCACTGGGACAGTATATGGAAGCTTTCAACTATTATATCTATACCTAAAAAAACTCAAGGCCAAAGCACTAAGTGACTTTTGCCTAGTGGCACTAACCCCTCATTTGGCTTGGAAAGGGTTATTTATAGACACCATACCGTTTTGATTGCAGATCATCTGGATTCTATGCATTTTACCTATAAAGAACATAGTGGGACTGAAGATGCAGCTTTGACTTTAGTGAATTTAGTAGCTAGCCATCAGCAACAGTTAAAGTTATATGTACATGCTTTATTTATCATTTTTAGTTCAGCATTTAATACAATCCAGATCCATATACTATTGGAACAGTTGTTGTGTTTGGAAGCCAATAGGAGGCTTATAAAATAGATTAAGGATTTTCTACCAGATTGTCCATTGTGGGATCTTATGAACAATACATTTTCTAATGAAATTGTCTTATATTCCAGTAAACTGGAAAGGTGGTGTCAGTCGAGCATGCTTCGTATTAATGTTGATGAAACCAAAGAACTGGCTACTTGTGTATTTTCAACCTCCCTCCTTTATTAATCAGCCTGGGAAGGCTGTTCAGTGAATCAGATACTTAGAAACAGTAATAGATTAACATTTAAACTTTGCAGAAAATACCAATTACAATTACAATTTCAAGAAGGCTAGTTAGTATATATTTTTGATCAGGAAGCTGAAAGGGTCTGGAGTGAGTCAAAGCATTTTAGAGAGGGTTTATAGAAGTTTAGTAGAAAGCATCTTTACTTTACCATGACCATGTGGTATGGTAGCCAGAGTAAGCTGACCAGAATTGTTAATACTGCAAGTAAAATAACTGATCAACCACAGAAACAGCTTAAAGAGCTGTATTAAATTGCAGTTCATAACAAAGCTCGGCTTATCATTGATGACCTCTCTCACCATTTTCATTCTCATTTCCAGCTGCTAATGTACCTTGGTGTTACAAGTGGCTTAGAATGCATGTGGTGAAGAAACATGTACAGTATATAAGACATCCTCTGTTCCCTGTGCAGTATATTTCAGTATATTAAACACAGCTAAGTGAATATTTCCTGTATGAAGCTACCCAATTAGTGTAATGATAGTGGAATATGGGCAGTGAGAATGATGTATCTGTATGGTGTATGACTCATAAAATTGTTTGTTTTTAACGTGTATTTATTTTAAGTATTTTCTGTGGTGCCAAAGACAATTTCTAGCCTTTTGGATGGATAATAAAGTAATATACTGCACATGTAAGTTCTGTTTTTTCTTACATTTTTATGTGAGATTTTTCCCTGCGACTCTAGAATGGAAAATTGATTCTTCATAATATAAATAAATAGTATTCTTCATTATGATCACAACAAGCACAATGACCAAATAAGAGAAAATATATTGTATATATTGTAATATTTGATTTTCCTAATGATTTTCTCCTAATTTATTTTTTTCTCTCTGTAGATGTGCGTTTGTAAACAAGTAAAACAATATTATATAATTTGCAAAACTTTATACATGCCAATTATTTATATAAGCTCTATACCGAAGAGTTTCAGTAGACCCAGCAGTGTGTGTTCATCGATAAAGATCAAGAAGGGACTCTTAGGATCTTCCAACACTGCAGGATTTTCCATTTAAATCCAAGATCAGGCAATATAATATCATTGCACTGTATTGTTGTATTGACTCTGATAATGTAATAGTTGAGATTGTACTTATTATTATAATGCTATCATTTAAAACATCATATACTATGCATATAGGTACTGTTGAAATTGAACAGTACTTTAGATTCCCTGAATCTCCCTTATTGTAAGCTTTAATTTTAATCCATTTCATTTTACCAGTAATAAACTGTAGCCCGATGACACCTTAAAGATGTGTAGAAGTCACTTTTCCTATTACCCGTGAGAGCACAGAAAACTTAGATTAGAAAAAAAATAATTGGATGGCATTCATAGATCCCAAAGCTTTAAAAATATTTATGGAATAAGTAATATATTTAAAACCTTTTAAGAAGCATTGACCTCTCACCTCAAAGAGCTACTGAGAAGACGTACAGTAAGATTATTGATAATATTAGATATTTAAACATTTTCTTAAGAAAATAAACATAAGAACGGCCATAATCCTAGCACTGCTAGTAGAGACACTGAATGTTTGCTGCAATTGGCCTTGGGAATTAATTAATTATTTTGTACTTTTACTTTTATTTTCTTGTTGTTCATGTTGACAGATTATTTTTTATTTTGTGCTAGTGATTGACATATGTTGACACTCACACTTTGCACATCCCTCTATTTTATAACTGCTTCTTTTAATCCAAGGTGGCGGAGGAGCCGGAGCCTATCCCCGCAAGCAATGAGTGCAAGGCAGGGCACACGGGATGGGACATAAGTCCATCGCAGGGCACACACAGACACGCACACACTCACATCAGGGCCAATTTTCCCAGAAACCAATTAACTGAACAGTCTGTATTTGAACTGAGGGAGGAAACCCACACAAACACAGTAAGAACATGCAAACTCCACACAAATAGTAGATCCAGAATTGAACCCAGGGTCCCAGCACTGCCACTGTGCCACTGAGTCTCCCTCAGCTTATACAGTATTATACTTATTATATGGTATGAAGAAATTCAAGTAGGTAATTGCATCAGCATGCATAGGCTGCAATGGAACAAGTAAAGGTTTATTCCATGCTGAAAAAAAAAGTACACCTAAAGAAGATTCCACGGTCGAAATGTTGTGTTTCTTTTCTTCTCTTTTTAGCATGGAATAAGCCTTTACTTGTTCCTTTACAAAAAAAAAGAATTTCACAGAATGAGTCCCCGATTCAGTTGGTAAAATGTGTATTTTATTCAGTTAGTACTCCAACACAAAAAGTTACTGTTTTGTTTTGTTTTCTTTCAGTGTGTCAGGTGTCTATCAGTGGGGCCTCTCCATTGGTGCTGAATGGCACTCTGGGACAGTCAGTTACTCTGCCCTCGGGGTTTGATGAGAAAAACTACAGCAGCAGTAATATAACACTGCTGGAATGGGAAATGAACAGAACTGTTATCATGCAGTTCCTAAATAAAAACTGGTCTGCTCTTAAGAATGATCACTTCAAAGACAGACTCTTTGTAAACACAAGGGATGGCTCTTTAACCATCTCTCAGCTAAAAGGAGGAGACGAGGGAGAGTATGTGCTCAGTGGCTTCGGATCTGCAGGCAACCTGCCTCAACAAAGGATAACCCTTCATGTTTTTGGTAAGAAATTCCATACATTAATTTGAAGGTCTGTTAGATTCCCCCTCAATCCTCATCCGGAGGGCATGTAAGTGTAACAAGACAAATAAAACAAAATATCTGAATGTAAAGAATATGAGATTTAAATCAGTAATTAACAACACCTGTCACTTTTGAGGTGCTTCCAGGGGAGTCATAAAGTCATGAGAAAAACATAATTTTACATTGATGTAAAATTTAGCCAAAAAATATTTGAGAAAATGAGTGGAGAAAAGTACAGGCGAATCTTAGAGGAAACCCTGCTTCAGTCTGCTAAACAGCGAAAGCTAGGATGAAAATCTACCTTTTAAGAGAACAGTGATCCAAAGCACAAGGCCAAAGCTAGACTTAAGTGTCTCAGCAGGAAGAAAGTGAATGTTGTTGAGTCCTGCCTTAAATCTGTAGCAAAATGTGAAGAATACTGTCTATCAATTACCCCCAGTCCATTTCATAGAGATTTATGTTATTTAATATAAACTTTGGAAAGATGTCCAACTTTATGTCCTTGAAAAACATATCTCAATTTCATCCATTTGCCCAGAGAATATCCTGCTTTGTTTTGAAAAAGTGAAAAACATCTATCTCTTGAGAATCAATTTCTATTCCCAGCATGCCCCAAAACAAACAAATATATCAATGATTTTCAGCATGGTATTATCAAAGTATTATGATGATTTCTTCCCAAACAGTGGAAATCAATACAGTAAAAATACTACCACCGAAGAGCTATGGAGCAGATAATAAAACTTGCAACTTGACCTTGACCTGTCAGGTGACAGGGGGCAGCCATGTTTCATTCCTTTGGCTGAAGGATGGGCGTGACATTCCTGGAACTCCCAGTGGTGCAGTTCTAGAGCAGATAGCTCATCCTGGTGATGGTGAAATTCACTACACCTGTACAGCCTTCAATGCCATCAGCAATCAGTCAGCTTCTAGTCATATTAAGTGCAACACACAAGGTAAGCTGTTAGATGGATCATTTTAAGACTACGGTATCATGCGATGTATAATATTAAATATGGCATTTTTTTCTGTTTGAATACACAGAAGAAACAAGGACAAAAAAGGAAAAGGATATACTCAAAATAATCATAATTGCTGCTGCAGCTGGAGGTGGAGCTCTTGGAATGACTCTTCTTGCCATTTTAATTTGTTGTTGCATGAAAAGGAAGAACAAAAAAGGTTTGTCTACTAAAAACAAACCAGTTTTTCAGTTCAGAATTGTTATAATCTAGAAATGGGCTGAGCCAGAACAATTGATTGCAATTTCTCTCACAAAAGCATACAGAAGAACAGAATCTACACCGAATATACAATTATTAGTGCTTTAGTTTATTACGATCACATAACAAAAAACATTATAATACTGGAGTTTTTCCCTAACCCCCTCCAGAAAAAAAATCAAATAGGTTTCAGCAACGTTCAGTCAAAACAGAATATAAAATATTAATTGTGTTTGTTTTTTTCACTGAGCCATTAAATTAATTTAGTTTTTATTGCCTTCATAGAAAAGGAAGACACAGCTTCTACGCTTTATGCTGAAATCGAAAGAGTGAACACATTAAAGGTCAGTAAAGCAAAAGAAGAACTATAGTAATCCTGAAAATTATTATAGTTTACGACAGCTCTAAAGACACTATTGAAAGAATTATGGTACAGTAACTGCAGATTGATTTGTAAAAATGCTGTATCATACCCGATGGACAGAATTTAGTGTGAAATTATGTTGTATTTTTGTATTGTTGCCATTATACTGTATATATTTGTATTTCACAACATCTTGGATGCGCTATGTAACATACAGTAAAGTCAAGTGACATCATGTAGTCAGTTGTAACAGTGTTTTGTATTTTTATATTACATATTTATGTTATCTTTTATAACTGTGAGCTTCTATGGTATTGTATTGTTCTGTGGTATGTCAAACCCAAAAGGTTCATAATGAAAAGTTTATATCATTATGTGTTTCCAACACAAATAATGGTGATGTCATCTCTTGTTATGATGTTGTTAAGGATAGAAAGGTAAGTAATGTTAAGATGTGATTATATCCCAGATTCTTTCTAATTTTTGAAGAAACAACAATAAATGGCTTATTGTCACCGACCAGGCATATAAGATCTCAGTGTTAATACCAGCACTTTTGATTGCCCAGTATAATTGCATGATCGCCCGAATTCAGTACTGAATTAAAAGTAAACAACTTCATTAAATAACAAATAAATCTTAGAAACCTGTAATTTTTCATTGTTGTGGTACATACCATATGTCACAATTTTATGTATTGTAATTCCATATAAAACAAACTAATTGTATATAACTCCTGCTTAATTTTACCATTCAAGAAATTTCGATTTAATTTGTTTGTCTTACTGAATGTTCCAGGATAATATTCCCGTTAGTGGACACCCACAGACCATTTACAATGTTGTCAATAAGTCAAAGGTAGGATTTCTATGTTCTATACTGTAGTTCAATTATATTTTTGCATAATATAGAATATTAAAATGAAAGCTGTTTAACAGGAAAATTGTAAGAGGTTTATTCAGTTAAATAGTGATGCTCTCCCATTTCTGTGACTGAACCATATACAGTATATAGAACAAAGAATATGCATGTTAGCTGTTTATATCAAATACAAAAGACTGGCCTGTCTACTCAGTTAACTACATTTTCATAAGGAAATCTCAAATCTAGCTAGTTAAGTTGCCATGCAGACGATAATGTTGCGAGTTCCTCGGTTCGAAGCTTAGAATAGGTGAATGAGAGTAGTCTTTCTTAAACACAAAGTGCTCAATATGACACCCTTGGTGTGTTACTTTTGTACAGCCCTTCTGAAAAATCAGTTTATCTTCTTACTGTTCAAAAATGTTTAACACGACCTTCACAGGTGTAGTAGCCTACATTGCTTATCACTATTTTTTACAATGAACAAGGGGGTGGGCACTTGTGCCCAGATTATATCAATTAGGTCCAAACTTTTTTTTCCTAACGGGAGATCCTTATTAAATACAGAAGCAGAATCCTCAAGTGGCGAAAAAAAAATGAAATTGGTTGGACTTTTTTTCTACAAGCAAAAAAGAGCACTTTGGCCGATGAGGGCAATGGGGCACTGTAGCCACCCCGCTCTGCACTTCCCTGCTGGTCAGAATGTATCTGGTTACTCATCTCTGGACTGATTCCACAGCAGCAATATCTTTTCTATATCATGGTGACTGAAATTGTCCACATTATTGTACAGGTGCCTAACTGCATCATACAATATTAACATATTTAATATAGAAAACTATTAACAAAACTATATATCCTTCCCCTGTGCTTTTTGTTTTTGTTGTTTTATCTAACAATAGTTTGTTGTTGTTAAATCCATAAGTCTGCAAGTATAGGAAATTATTTTACCTCTGAAGCTACTTGCTCTTCCAGAGTAGAAGCATATTCTAACATGGTGACCTAAATCAGTCTATTGTACTGTAAGATTTTAACCTACCCTAGTTAAAATCTACAATTACCTGTGCATTCTAGTATATAAGTATAAATATTTAAAGCAGGAGTGTTCAACCTATGGCCCGCCAATTGCGGCCCGCCACTGTTTCTGAAATGGCCCGTGAGTTAATTTAGAACTATAATTAAATTTGGTACAATATTAATTTTAAAATGCAGTTTCTATTTTGAACTAAATTTTAAAGGAACAAGTTAAGGTATATTCCATGTTGAATAGAAAAGAGACACAACGTTCGGCTGTGGAGCCTTCTTCAGGATCCAGGAAAAGGTGTTACATTTCAGACAAAGTCCTTTAGGGATGATATTTCAATGACAACATCTATAAAGGAACAGGAGGTGGTTAGAAAGCCTGGTCTTGGAACAGATCGCTGTGAAGAGACGGAATGCTGGTTTAGTGAGAGAAGGGAGGCAAGTGGCCCAGGGGGAAAGAGAAGGAATGACGACGAGATCTAGAAAAAGATTTGGAGGAAGGCACAGTGGGTCGCAGCAGAAGTGTAGCATGCTGACACAGCTACCTATTTGAACTACTTAACTATTTAAATCTCAAGAAATATTTTTCAGAGAGAAATAGTTGTGTATTTTCTTACAATGTTGTAATCTATTTATTTTTTGTTTTTTTTTTCCAAGTGTGAAACACCCAGCAAGACTCTATATGATACCGTGAACTTTAATCGTAAGAAGGAGACCACACAGTACCAGGAAGTCCTCTAAATTTATAATGGAACTATAGGGACATTTTTATTTCTGAACACAAATATAGGTTGTAAATAGACTTGGTGTACAGCACGAGTCCATTGTATTACCTTAAACAGCAAAGGTTTTTGACCCTCTCACCAAGTTGAGGTGAATTAGCCACTATCTGAATGTAACCGGCACCCTACATGTGATATTGCCCAAATAGAGAACGCCAGTACTGTACAGTAGGGTTGGGATAAGTCAGCCAGCATTTTCCTGACACTCCAGCAACTACAGCAATCTCCTGGGTGCCTGCAGGCTTGTGGTTTTAATAGAGAGGAGCATGCCACTCCTGTCAAAATTGACTAAATGACTAAATAGGAGGGCAATTCAAGAAGCTTGCTCATTCTCCCAAGAATCATTGCTGTATTGAGAGGTCAAAACGATTTGGAAATTCCAAACTGTGTAAGTATAAAATTAAAAATATATAAAAAAATAAATATATAACATGTATTTCCTTGCTTCAGGATCTTATTGACGTTTAATATCGAGTACATCATGACATGTTTGCTTACTGTATAAAATATCTACATTGTATTTAAATATGCATGTACTGTATATTTCTTGAAATACATTTTATTTTGTTTCCATGTGTAGGTTTTTTTCATTCATTGCTATACAATAATTGTATTGAATTGTATTGTTCCATTAATGTTTAATTACGTTTTCAATTGAAATATTTCATTAGAGTTTAAATATGTGAAATAGTGGAGACCAAGGAAAAACACTGATAAGTTTTATGGCAAATGTTACTAAATTCTTTAGAGGAACTGAATGAATGCATATGTTGTCATGACTTTGCTGTATTTACACAAAATGTTATTCCATTCACTATATTCCAATTTCTGAAGAATGAAACAAGCAAAATATAAGATAAATGTTCACGTTAAGAAAAAAGAAACATTCATGTTAGTTAGTTTGAGTTAGTATTTTATCATTTAATAAATTAAATTATCTCCGACCACCTAATCTACGTAATCTTCTTGTTCACAGCTCCCTTGACCGCCCTCAGCAACCATCCACACCAGGCACTTTCCCTTGCAACAGAGCTCGCTGTATCACCTGCAAGTACACATCTACCACCACACTCATTCAAGGCCCCTCAGGACAATTCCGAATCACTCAGACATCTTGTACCTCCAGCAACCTTATTTACTGTATCTCTTGCAGTAAATGCCCAGCCATCCACATTGGAGAAACAGGAAGGAGACTCGGAGACCAATTCAGAGAACACGTCAGGGCTGTGAAGATTAAAGATCTCTCCAAGCCCATTGTTTCTCATTTCACCTCTGACAGCCATGACCACTCTAATCTCTCCATCTGTGTTCTCAAAGACGATTTTCCGAACTCATACATCAGAAAGACTACAGAAACCAAAATTATCCTGAAGCTAGGATCACACCTTCCCCCTTCTCTTAACGACAGACTACTTTTCTTCTAAATTCTCTCTATTCATTGTAGGTTTCATTTCACACCTCTCTTCACCTATCCAGACTTCACACCTCCTGATTGGCCTCTCTTTCTGTCTCCTGCTCCTGCCTCTCACTCCTCCTCTCTCCCAGCCACTACATTACCTTTGCTTACTGCCTTGTCTTTCTCACACCTGAAGCAGGCTTCACGGACGAAATGTTGTGTTTTCTTTCTTCTCTTTTCAACATGGAATAAACCTATTACTTGTTCCTTTGCAGCTTATGCATGCTGACGCTGGTACCCACCTGAACATTTAATACATTATATATTTAAGGTACTGTAGTTTATTTTAAGATAAACAACTAAAAACTGTATGGAACAATATTTCCTTGTTACTTCCAAAAAATAAAAAAATAGTAAACTGAAAATAATTCTTAATACTACATTTCCAGCAAGTAACATCCTTCATCCTGGAATTGTGGTCAGATTCTGTTGTAGAGTAGAAGTCACTCAACATAAAATTCTGTGGAAATTTTAGATTGTTTATTATGATTTTGTGAAGCACAACCTTTTGTCAAAATCTTTTCGTGTCTCCAATGGGGACTTTAGTCATATTCCCTTTAATTTACAATGGTAAGTTTAGTTTTTTTTGGTCAAATTCTAATTCAAATTTGGTCAAATAGTTGAATAAGCATACATATGTAAAGGGCTAGTGTTTTTAGTACTTTAATGTGACTGTAACTGATGATTCCTCCACTGGTACCCTTTTTCTGACTACCCCATCATCCCATATCACTGACCACCTTATCTCCATAACCTTCTTGTTCACAGCTCCCTTTACCGCCCTCAGCAATCATCCACACCATGCACTTTCCACTGCAACAGAACTTACTGCATCACCTGTAAATATATATCCAATACCACACATGTTCAAAGTCCCTCTGGAGAATTCCAGATCACTCAGATGACATCTTGTATCTCCAGCAACCTTATTTACTGCATCTGTTGCAGAAAATGCCCAGCCATCTACACTGGTGAGACAGGAAGAAGACTGAGTGACTGTTTCAGGGAACGTGTTAGGGCTGAGAGGATCAAACATCTCCCCAAACCCATAGTTTCCCATTTCACCTCTAATGGCCATGATCATACTGATCTCTCCATCTGCATTCTCAAAGAGGAACTCGTATTGCAAAAAGACATCCTAAATCAAAATTATCCTGAAACTAGGATCACATCTTTCCCCTTCTTTCAACAAAAGACTCATTCACTTCTAATCCTCTCCATTCATTTGCAGGCTTTGACATCACACCTCTCTTCCCCTCTCTCAACTTCACACCGCCAGAGTGTCCTCTCTGCCTCCCCCTGCTCCCTCCTCCTCTCCACTCCCAGCTTTTGTTCTCCCATGCTTTATTGGCTGCTAATTTCTGAAACATTGTGCTTCTTCTCTTATCAGCATGGGTTAAACCTTTACTTGTTCCTTTAGTGGAAAAGATGTTTGAAGCAGCTAGATTGAGCAAATCAGGAAGCTCAATGTCAGAGCACTGATCTGGTGAGAAAGCCTGCGTAATGAGATGATTGGGAGGTAGATTCGCTGCCTAATTGGAAGGCAGGCATTCTAATAGTGAAGTTCCAATCTTGTTTGCCTAGGGTCTGAGGAAGGCTGAGAACTTATGCAAACATTCATGTTACCCCTGGCAACAGCAAGGATGCAAGCCACTCCCAGCCCGTTTTTTTTTGGTTTCACCAAAACCAAGGACAACCTGTGTGTAACAAATAAAAACTGTGTACAATGTGTGCTTATGCTTGTTTGAACTAGTGGATTCAGATATGAAATGCATTAAAAGTTGAATGCCGCAAATTACAAAACACAGGTCAGCGAATAGGAGGCTGCACTATTAGCCAGCAGCAGTAGTAGAATTGGCTAGTTTGAGATTGGGACTCTGTGGTGAGCACCAGAAGACACTGTGGTGGCCCAGAAGTGTAGGTTGATGGGAGCTGTTTCTTGCTCAATTTAGCTAGACGATAAGAACATATTTTGAAAGAATATCAGCTATGTATATGGATGTTTTGGGGGGGGAAGAGTTGAATACCAAACCAACCAGATGGAAGACTACTGAAAAGATGGGAGAAATGGGAGTGAAACCCATCAATGTAACTGCCTTCCAAGTGTCAGGAACAGCATGGAGGTGATTAAGGAGGCCCGGATCTGGTGCAGATTGATGTCATATGCTCACACAAGCTGGGCAGTGTGGAAGTCAGCAACTGGGTTTTCCTTTGGCTTACAGAGAAAAGGAGAGGGGAGAGGGGAGAAGAATTAACAGATAGAATCTAGGGCTATAGAGTCTTGGATGTTTGAGTAGTAACAGAGAGAAAAGAGAGGAAGAAAGTCCAAGTGCTGGAAGGATGCTGTGGTAACTGGGGGAGAGGCAGAGGCAGAGCATGAGTGAAACAGGAGCCAGGAATGGAGCAGGGAGAGTGCAATGGTGAAGCAGGGTGAGGTTTGAAAATGCATGCCAACTGCCAACGTGGAGTCAAACAGCAACCTTCCCATTCGAGGTCATAGAAGTGGGCGTTGAAACCAGAATAGGCAGATGAGAGACTGTCCAAAGCACCAATGGGAATCGAAGAAAGGAGGTCAGACAAGCTAGATCCAAGCCAGATCTGCGCCTGTGGCTGGAAGGTTGCTGGTTCAAATCCCACAGCTAGTAGTGGAGTCCTACTCTGTTGGGCCCCTGAGCAAGGCCCTTAACCCCAACTGCTCCAGGGTGTTGTATAAATGGAATTTCTGGTTTGCTGAGATCAGGAAATTTGAAATAAAATGGTATGGTGGGCACAAAGCCACTTGTTTTCTGTGGAGAGTTGAGGCTGAAGATGCAAGAGCAGCTCTGGTCCTAAGTAAACACGATGAAGGTAAGACCCCAGCAATGTTGAAAACAAGACACGTCCCTCTACAACTAATTAAGATATAGAGTGCAAGAAAAGATTGGCACCGAGCCATATTTAACTAGTGTGGTTTTATGTGTAGAGAAGGGAAAGTGCGAGATTTGAATTTGACATTCATCCAAACATCTGTTCAATAACACCATTAAGTGTGATTTCACTATTTTTGTAGGAATATTATGCCTGAATTCAGATCTCATAGATATGTTCGCCTGGTATGTTGGCCTAAGAATGGCCAACTTATGAATCTTAAGTGCTTAATAAACAGAAAATATCATTGATCTGTAGCATCATATAGATCATAGGTACAGTGGTGCGAAAAAGTGTTTGCCCCCTTCCTGATTTCTTATTTTGTTGCATGTTTGTCACACTGAAATGTTTCAGATCATCAAACAAATTGAAATATTACACAAAGATAACACAAGTAAACACAAAATGCAGTTTTTAAATGAAGGTTTTTATTATTAAGGGAAAAAAAATCCAAACCTACATGGCCATGTGTGAAAAAGTGATTGCCCCCCCTGTTAAAACATAAATCAACTGTGGTTTATCACATCTTTGGAAAACTGAGTTCAATTCCTCTAGCCAC